ATAGGGGCCCACCACCGTTCCTGGCTAATTTTTGTATTTTCATTAAAAACGTGGTTTCACCATGTTGGCCAGGGTGGTGTTGAACTCCTGACCCCGTGACCTACCCACCTCGGCCTTCCAAAGTGCTAAGATTACAGGCGTGAGCCACCATGCCTGGTCAATCTTGTTCTTTCTTTGTGCAAACCCTCCAATTCCTCCCTCTCTTACTCTGAGTAGACACAAAATACTTTTGAAGACATACATGGCACTAAGTAATGTGACCTTACTGTCCCCTCTCCAACCTCACCTCCTACACTTATTCCCTTCCTGCCTCTATTCTAGTCACACTGTCCCCCCTGCTTTCCTTGGAAAACTCTAAGCAAATGTTTTTCTCATGATCATTGTTTTCCATCCCTTCTGCTGAATACTATTTCCCCAAACAACTGTTTGGCTCATCCCTTTTCTCCTCTTCACTTCATTTTCTATTAAATATTACAAAGCTCCCTTACCCAGAGCTACAGAAAGTCAAGTTTAATCTTCCAGTCTGCGAAATTGGTCCAGGATTTCTCACACCAGTCAGAAGTTTAGGGTCCACATGGCTACCCTCACTTCAGACTAGCTGTTTACAAATATGGAGTCCCTTTGGACTCCGTCAGATTTTATAACTCACAAGAGCTATTCATAGAACTCAGGAAAGCCCTGTAATTACAATTACAGTTTTCTTATAACAAAAATATATAAATTAGAACTAGCTGAGGATGAGACACGTAGAGCATCTTGGACTTAAAATGTTCCAAATACAAAACTTCTCTGTTCTCAGAGATCTATTATCTTCACGACATCTATTGTGTTTCTGTATCTATGGAGTATTGCCAATCTAAGAAGCTCACCTGAGCTTTGTATCTCTAGTTTTTATTGGGATTTTATTATTATGTATAGGCAAGATGGATTGAATCATTGCTCGCATGGTTAAAATCACTCTTCAGCTCCTTCCCCTCTGTGGAGGTTGGGATGATATCACATAGCTAAAAGTCTCATCCCTCTAATAACATGGACGGTATTTCTGGCAGGGCTAGTTCCTACCCTAAGATGATCAGTGTGGCCATCCCCACCCTGAGTCATTTCATGAGCCTCAGTTATTATATACTCACCATACGGCATCATGTTAGCATAAGCTATCATGTATAACACAATATTCCAAGTGTTTAGAGATTACATTGCAAGAACAAGAGACAAACGACAATCAGATGTTTTATTACGGACTCCCTCACCATCCCCCTGCCACACACACACACTAATACTTACTCACCTGCCATTTCTATTTATCCCCATTCCTCATTTTATTATCACTAGCACTTGGTATCATCTGACATATTACATCATTTCTTTATTGATCTTATTTCTTGTCTTTCTCATCAAATAAAAATGGCAAGATAAACGAATTTCTATTTTGTATTTGTTGAATCTCTTATCACTCAAATAATACCTGACCTAGTACACACTTTATAAATATTGGTTGAACGAATGAATGAATCCGTTTTCTAAATTTAGGTCTTCTTATAGCCCTTCTATTCCTTATATTAAAATAGAATTTCATTTAAGTGACATGGAATGGAATCTATAAATATTTTAACATTTTAAAACTTTTCCAATATATTTTCTTCAAACCTCTTACGACAGTGAAAGAGTTCATCTAGACTTTTAATATATAACTATTAACTATAGCTTCATTTTACTAGATTTTAAAGCTAATTAAAATACATTATCTCAAAAACTACTATAGCTTACTTAGAAATAACTGTCTCTGAATTCCTAAGGATAATTTTAATTCTCGTTTTAGGCTTGGGTAGGCAATCCTAGGATTCTATAATTCCAAGAAAACTTTATTTTGAAGCTAGATGCAAAATTTTTCTTCGTATCAGGGCATCCTGAATCAATTGATGTCTTTTCCTTTAGTCTGTTCATAAAATAAGTTATCAACTGTGTGCTGAAATATCAATGGCAAGCAAGTAATTTTCTGTAACACAGATGTTAAAGAAAGATACTCTCTGCTTTTTTTGTTGTTAAATTAGCTGTGTCTTAAAACCTTTCAAACCTACATATGAAGAAAATTCTAATGGGTGATCTATAGAGCATTTTGGTATACTACAAAGTAGAAAAAGAACCTGATACTGATAAAAATAGAGCATATACAACTTCATGGAAAATTTTAATTATTACTATTTTGAAGTCTTTATTTTGTGATGAGAACAAAAACTTCTTTGAGAAACAGCAAAGTCAAGATGTTTAAATTGATCTTATGATTTTGAGATTTAAAAATGTAATGCTTTGGAATTGTGTATAGTGGAAATATGTTGTATTTCACAAAGTGTTTAATTGATACAGACAGAAAGAATTGTCTCTCTTGTTACTTTGTAAGTCATGGAGATTTCTTCAAATTATAGAATAAAATACTTCATCACTTCAATAGCTATTTCAATCTTTTGAAAACTGTATCCACATCTACAGGCAAAGGAATTTTATTATCTCTAAATTACAATTTGGTATGTCATGAGTTATTTCATAGGACAAAGTTTGTTAAATGAACACTGGCAGTGCTTTGCTCTTGAACTCAAGTACAAGTCAGCTCTGTTTAAGTCGCCATTCACAGAGGACAGAAATGAATGTGCAGTTAAAATGGTGCCATAAGTAAATTAGAGCAGAATTAGAAGAAAAGTGGGCAATTTAGGAACATAAGAATTGCTGTACTGAATCAGATCATCGGTTCTCCTGGTTTAATATCCAACCTCCAGCAGCTGTACTTGTTAGTTTCTACAGCTTTAAAAGAAAGAAAAAAGACTACATAATTTACCTAGACAAGTGTGCCATCTGTGATCTGGAGAAATTTTCTTCTTGATCTCTCTCAAATAATACCCTAAAGCAGGAGGTTTCAACCCTGCTATGATATTAGTTTAGCTTGACTAGCTCTGATTATTAATAATTCTTATTAAAATATCCCATTCCTCCATAAAATAAACTAGTATATCAAGAAACTATTTGTCTCTAAAGCTCCTGAATTCATGGTTGAACATGTCTGCATCTGTGATAAAATATGAATATATGGTGCGTATTCAATGTAAGTTCTTGATGGCAAAAATCTGCCTCTTGATAACCATACTTTTACTTCTCCTTCCAAATTCTACTGGACTTAGAGACTTTGGCTAAACAAAACAAAGCAAAACAAACTTAGATCTGCTCATACTACTCAAAATTTCTATCTATTAATAATATACAGAAGATATCTGAATGATGAAGGATTTTTTGTGTTGAACTTTTAGAAAAGTTCAACTAAAGTTTTTCTTATATGATTTTGCCTAAGGTTGAATAAGAGCAAGGAATGAATTACTTATCTATGTCACTTTAATCTTTCGTTTATGTTAGAGAAGGCTGAAAAACTTTATCGTTTCTTGATTATTCTAAATACTCACCTTGAGATCAATATTTCTAAAATATTATGCTCACACTAGCCATTTAGTCAAAAGTTCCTCAAGAGTATTAAATGCCTACAAATTCGATTCTAAACAATTTTCCAGGGCTGTTAGACCTAATGTGATAACACTAATATGCTAAGTACATAAATTCAATGGTATCTCCCTCCTTCTATCCTAGAATTCAACAAAACTAGTTTTTTTCATTATTATTTGAACTAAGAAGTAGATTAATCATTAATGTCTATGTTAATTCTATCCCTTTTTCTAGCTTTCCCAGCTTTCCTTTCTAGTTCATTTCCTTATTTCCTCTCTTTCAGTCAGATTCCCATTCCATAAGGTAATTTCCTTTCAAGCATGTAATGACTGCTCCCTCTTCTGAACAATTTGTGGCCCTTTTTTAAGGCTTGGTTTATGCTGTCTTATGTTGTAGTTCTTTGTTACCCTGGGTTTTCATGCTTATAAATTCCCTGAGGAAAACTTTGTGTTTCATATTTATATTTCTAGGGCCTAGATCCGTGTCTAACTCATACTAATAACAAAGATATGTTATAAGGAAATCTACAGATGTAGTGACTGTGTAGAGCCACTTTAAAAAAAACTCTGAGTTCCTACTTGTGTGACCTTGGCATTAATATATTATTGAGTGCTATAAAGGTATCAATGAGCTCAACACTATAGATATTGAAAAGATAAAGTCGACAATTATCCATTTTCAAATCACAACTATAAATATGGAAAATATCATGAAAAGATAATATAAAAGTTTTGAATGAGTATAGACACGTAAAATTGGAAAATAAAAGAATTCCAAGCAGAAGTAACAGCTGGAGCAAAGAGAAGAAATGAAAAAAAGAGGGATTTACTGGGGAACTCTACCTAATTCCTATTGGCTGGGTTTATAAAAAGAATATCTGAAAATAAACTTGGAAATATGGGTGGTACCATGTTCATTAACCTTAATATGAAACCACTGAAGAATTATTGAAAGATTTTTAATTGGTAAACAGATCTAGGAGATGTTAGATAAATTTAAATGTGGGACTGAAAGAAGTTTCCTGGAGTAATGAGATTATTACATAATAAGATTTGTAATTAAACTTGGTATTAAACTCAGGAAGTATTAATAAGAGTATATAGAATGAAATAGATATAAAAGATGTTTAAGTGATATGATTCCTTATTGTGAAATGATTGGGTCTAAGATAAGGGAAAAGAATGAAACAAAAGTAGCACCACCCTTTGAGCACGTTTAAGTGTGAATGAAGATATATTTTATTGAAATAAAAAATTTTTTCTTCCAATATGTTAAGTGGAAATGCATATAAAAAATTCAACTTTAAATTTTAGTTCTTACAATTTTAAATACCATAGTGGTTCTCAGTTCTAAAACCACTAAGCCCAGTTCACTTACGTTTCATATCATCAGTATATATCCACATTTTTTCTATCTTTAACTCTTTAAAGCTCTTGTGAACACTGTTAGAAAACAATATTCTTTTTAATCTAACAATGATTTCAATTTTACTATAATGTATCTATTTTATTATTTAGGAATCCAAATGGGACTCACAATAATAGCACAAAATGGCCTGTCTTCAAAAGCACTGAACAAAAATATCTAACCTTGAATACAGAGTCATCAAGAATATTGACTAAACTACGTGCTCAGCAATGCCGATTCTGGACATCATTTTTCCCAAAAGTCTTGGAAATGACAGGTGTGTGTATTTTAGTGTTTGGTTATTTAAAAGATGATAGTTTATGTAAAAGAGGGATGAAGTATACTCTCCAAGGCATGATGATGTAGTTACTGTATGTATCTCTGACTTTAAAATAACTTGATTTAATGAATACATTATTTTTAAGACTTTCTTCTATCAAGTTTAGATATGTTTTGAACTCTTACTATATAAGCAATACTTTAGTAGTTAAATAAAGAAAACTAAAATATAAATTTCACCCCGTGGAAATATAATATAGAAAAAGGAAACTAAAATAGAACCCTACTTGTTATTCAGAAAATCTTTATGGAATTAATTAATGAGCAAAGAAATAAATATATCAATCATAATGCATAGAACTAAAAAAAAGCATGCAAAAATACCAAAACAAATTTATTAATAAATAATAAGACCTTGATTTAAAGGGAGAAAAAAACTCCAAAGTTTACATATTTAAAAACACAATAAAAAATTTCTAAATATTCTGAACTTGGAAATATTTATCTAAGAGCACACACACACATTACAAAATATAATATTATGTAATATTACATATTATAAACAAATAGTTATTTAGTTAACTAGTCTTCAGGAAGTGATTGATGAGAAATATGTAAGGAAATACTATCAAAATTTGTTCATTTATTATCTCAATATTCATTATTAAGAAAATATTCAATCCACTTGAGTGATCAAACATGTGTCACCTTAGTTTGATCTTCTCTGACAAATATGACATATATCCAACTCGCTGTCTAATTTTTAAAATTTCTGCTGTTTATAATCCATGTGGTTCTTTAAGTGTACTTTCTAAAAGTAATTTTCAGCCATCAGACATATTGCTGGTCAGGTCCTTCAGAGTTTGCTATTCTGTTCATCATGATGCTCTGTAATTTTCAGGCTATATGTTAGGTATCACAATACAGTAGATGTTTTCCATTTCTTGTTTAGATAAGTTAGGGGCTAGTTTCAGCAAACATGGGCATCTCAGAGCTGTATTTGATTGTTTCATATGCCTTTGGATCATCAGACATTACTCACCAAAATTATAATAATGTACTCCATCTGCTCGGGAAATGTTTCTGATATACCAGTCAGTGCTTTGCGTATTACCAAATGTTCTGTGACATAATATATAACTAGAGATGGGATTCTGCTTCTCTTGGCAGAGCAACAGTGCCGTCCTTGTGTCCTCCGGGTGTAAATAACGATGAGGTAACTCATTAATCTGCCAAGAGACCCAAAGAGATACTATGATTTACCGTTATCACATACTACATATTCTTAATCTTTATTTAAAATATTTTTATATGAGAGGGTTATAATTTGAGATAAAATTAGTGGGTTATTTTAAGTGACTTATTTATTATAAGCCAAGCTGAGCCATTCTGGTTGAATCATATATGATCTATTGCAATTTATGTGATGATACAATAAAATTTGAATGTCAGCATTTTTAAAAACTATCCTTCACAAATTTCTGTTTCCAAGTACTTACCTGTCAGAAAGCAGATTAAATAAACAAACTCCAAAGTTTTTGGCCAGCTGCCGCTATTTGCCATACAATGTTGAACAAATTCCTAGCTTGTGTAACACTGAGCTCTATGGAAATATTTATCTAGCTGTGGTCTAGGACCATGCATAAGGTTGGGTTCAGTGTGTCTTGAAAATATAATTTTGTATTATATCATTTTTTCTAATTAATTCTCCCATAATAAGGTTTTCATATTAGATATATTTTATAATTTTAAAGTAAATGCATGATAGGATTATTGTAACATGTATTCATTAGTAATAAAAATGTTACATTTGAACAAAGTCAGTTTGAAGTTAGAAGGATTTATGTTTTATAAATAAATAGTTTGGACAGATTAAAAAGATTAAGGGCCCATGTTCTTGCCATACCTTACATTTTTCAAGTCACAAAACTTCAAATATTTTAATCTTTAATGTTTTGAGAATGGGTTATTCAGATGACCTGGGCTAAAGTTTTTGGAATTTTTTTTTAAAGCAACTCTATACGTAAAGAAAAATTTCAAAGAATAACTACTAGCTGGCTTTCTTAAAAGGAAAAATGTTTACGTTACTCAAGATGGAAGCCCAATAAGCTTTGTAAGTACCACCTCAGCAGTAGTTTACATTTGAGCAATAAATGTTCTCAAATAAAATGATCCTTCAGACTTGTTTAAATACACAAATTCTAACGCTTACTTTCAGACCATACTTCAGCACACGGCTATGCTGTTATTGCATGCACCTGCAAGAAATAAAATTCACAATATTTGTTTCAAATGTTACAAATTCAGATTTACACAAGAATATAACTATTCAATATTACAATCTCATACCTATTTGAAAAAAGAAAAGGAAGTAGAAAAATGACCCATTGTCAAGGATAATAATATTTTTTTCACTAAAAGTGGAAGGGTAAATTTATTTAAAGAACAAAAGTCCTTCATTTTATCCCAATGAAGAAAAAACGTTAGATCCAATAATTCCTCCTTTGACCTTTGAATAAATCGTGCTTGCCAATACTAAAAACCACGTGTAAATTTAAGGGTCAAAATACCCTTTGGACTGGTTACTTTGAGAGTCATTTACTGCTATTTGCTAATCAGCAAGACTGTCAGTCAAAGATGAGGGAATGCAAAGGTGATTTTGAGAAAATAATGATACTAGCTTATTGTCTTAATATGCCTGAATTATAAATTCCTCATTAAAAGCAAAACAAAACAAATAAACAAGTGGCTTTAAATAACTTAGTAATCAAGTTAAATTAACTGTTTCACTTTAAATTACATGAAGTCTTCACAAAGCCTAGCCTGAGTTTATACTGGTTCACTGTATGATCTTACCCCATACTCAAAATTACAACGGAACAATTAATGATTGAGATTTATTGCATAAAGAAGTATGCATTCTGTGACAAGTTTAATAACTGATCAAAACCAGAAAAATAATAATGTGATGGAGACAGAAGAGATTTTCAGTGAACACTCAAATACATGAAGAATGTTGTTGTTGTGTCTTAATTATGATGGCAAACATAATTAAATATCAGTATAATCTCTTCTATCTTCACTTCCACTAGCAATTATGGGTTAATTCGCCTCTGCATTCTCTTCTGCTAGGGTCTGAATGTTTGTGTCCCCCTAAAATTCATATGTTGACATCCTAATCACTAAGGTGCTGGTATTAGAAGGCAAATCCTTAGAGAGGTCATGAGTTCATGGAGACAAAGCCCATTCAAAAGGGATTAATGCTCTAAAAAAAAAAAATTCCTGAGAGAACTCCCCCATTCTTCCATGTGAGAACATAGCAATGAGACTGCCACCTATGAACCAGAAGACAGGTCATCATCAGACACCAGTCTACTGTTGCTTGATCTTAGATGGAAGTCTAATCTGCTAGAAAGCCTCCTCAACTGTGAAAAATAAATTTTCTGTTGTACATAAGCTACCCAGTGTATGATGTTTTATTATGGCAATGTGAATGGACTAAAATATTTTCTAATTCCTTAGACTTTATTAAATAGACTTGGCTCTGGTAAAAATTTACTCAGTGTCCTTTTTGGCTAGACAAAACACAACAACCACACACACACAAAAACTTATCATTATTATTTTCACAGGAGAGAAAACAATTTTTTTTCCAAATAAGAAAATACATGCAAAACAAAGATCACAAAGAGTGAACTAAAAAAGTTATGCCAATATGTTTATAAATTTACTATTTCACAAATTGCCTTCCATGACTCTTCCCTTCTCTTTACCCTGTGAGACATTAAACAAAAAACTGATTCCCATCTTTTCTATCGCCCCAAAACCCACACACACAAAGCAAGTTGTCTCTGTTTTACAATCACAAGACTTGGTGACATTTGAAATAATTTTAAAGCAGTGAAATCATTCATATTACTGAGTTGATTAAAAAGGATATTATTGTTGATTTAAAATTGGGCATAGAAAACTGAAGAATAAAAATATAACAGATTAATAGGTCATATTTATCAAGGTGAATATATATATGCAATGTATTCATACTTATATGTAGAGCCTCTAACCTCTTATTAGATTTATGTCCTATTAATATGCTTTGAAAATTTATACTAAAACTACCAGCCTAGGTATAAAGCACTATTCTTTTTCCAAGGAATTCTCAGGTCAACAATATGAGTTGCTACATTTAGTTATGCACATTGTATCATACAAATTCACATTTTCTGTGTATGTTTACCACTCATCCATTAGGCAATTATTTTTAGAAAATAAAAACTTTATTATTTTTCATATCACATAAAAATTTATAATCTGCTAGCTTTTAACTGTTTTATGCATACTGAGCCATTTGGTCTTTTGCAGAATTTTCTTTATATACTTTAAGTTCTGGGATACATGTGTAGAACGTGCAGTTTTGTTACATAGGTATACGTGTGCCATGGCGGCTTGTTGAGCCTATCAACCCGTCGTCTAGGTTTTAAGCCTCGCATCCATTAGCTGTATGTCCTAATGCTCTCCCTCTCCTCACTCTTCACCCCCGACTGGCCCCAGTGTGTATTGTTCCCCTCCCTGTGTCCATGTGTTCTCATTGTTCAGCTCCCACTTATGAGTGAGAACAGGCGGTGTTTGGTTTTCTGTTCCTATGTTAGTTGTGTTAGTTTGCTGATGATGGTGGCTTCCAGCTTCATCCATGTGCCTGCAAAGGATATTATCTCATACCTTTTTATGACTGCATAGTATTCCGTGGTATATATGTACCACATTTTCTTTATCCGGTCTGTCATTGATAGGTTTTTGGGTTGGTTTCGTATCTTTACTATTGTAAATAGTACTGCAATAAACATACATGTGCATGGGCTTTATTTATTTATTTGAGACAAAATTTCACTCTTGTTGCCTAGGCTGGAGTACAATGATGCGATCTCGGCTCACTGCAACCTCCATCTCCTGGGTTCAAGTGATTTTCCTGCCTCAGCCTCTGGAGTAACTGGGATTGCA